CCCAATTTATGCCCACTTTCCTTGGGTCAACTCACATACCACATAGCCTATGTATGGGGAGGGGTAAGGTGTTTCATGGGATGATGTAATTAGCATGATCTTGTTAGTCTTCATTAGCATATTCAGGGGTGTTAATTTGATATGCATTTTGTGGATAATGAAGCAAAGGTCACTGATGGGACAGATGGTCCTTGAAATTTGAGCAGGTGCCCCAGAGCAGGGCCGTCCTGTCTCCACAGGTCTCCCCCCTCCAGCTGCATCCTGTGCTGTCCAGGCGGTCTTATGAGCTTCAACCTCCGCACTATCCGCCCTGTGACTATAGTTTCGTTACTTGAGAGTGGTTGAGACATTTCTTAGCTCTGAGGGCCTCCACTCCCCCTGCTAACTTTTATCTCTTTCTCAGGCTGTTTTTCTCAGTCCATGTTTCTTGCAGGCCTGTTTCTACAACTTGTCTCTCACAGATTTAATCTAGATGTTAATTCTCTGGTTTGTATACCAGAACATTACAAATTATCTGAGATATTAGAATAGATTTACTAAAGTCCAAATATATCACAGTTGTGACCTTTCCCTTATCCAGCTAGTCTAGTAGTCAAAGAAACTAGATTGATATGACATGATTTGTTCCTGATATGTCCATGTTTTCTGGTTTTTTATCACCATCTTATTTTCTTGTTCCTTATAAACAGTTTTTAAGTAAATTACCCAGAGTTTTTCAAGGAAGAAAAGGGTATGTACCTTCCCAAGTAGAGATATTTTCCCCCTTTTTAAGTGTGACATTGTGATTGCCCTCTTTTTATCTTCAGGGAATTCTACTATCCTTCATCAACTCTCCAAGGTAAGTGCTATGATTCAGAGATTACTGTGGTCGCTTTGTATACTTAATTGAAATTCATTGGACTAAGCTAAATTGAAAATCTCTATCTTTTTTCACTGTCCCTTCCCATATTCATGAAGACATGCCTATCTTTTAAGAATGTAATTTAATTAAGTATTGGATCATAGTTAACATTTATTTGAAGATTGAAAGAAGGCATAGATACTTTAGCCTTCATTGAGTCATTATTTCATCCCCTTCTTAACACTTCCTTTTACTTCTTCAATGTGTGGTGTGTTTGTAGATTTTTTTTCTTGTTGCTTGTTATGTCCTTTGTTAATTATAACTCATTTTAGCCTTAGCCTTGCTGAGTTTAACCTACCTATCTGATCAATTCTTTTATATCCTTAAGAATGTACCATTGTTTTCATTCGGTGTGCAGTTCCTTTTTCCATTTTCAGACCATTAAACTGCTATGAATACCGTCAAAATGCCTTCTACTAAGCTTCTTATCTTTGAGATGATAGTTTCAATTGTGTAGTTGACATAAAGTTTCCAGTAACCACCAGGTCTCACACTTTTTCTAAAAAGCAAATTATCCATGCAAAAGACCCTGTCAATAAATTCTTTCCATTGATGTCTATTTTCTCAAAGTGCTGCTTTTGGTTCTTTGTGTTTTTTTTTTTGTTGTTGTTGTTGTTGTTGTTTTGTGTTTTTTTTTTTTTTTTCTCTTTCCAACAATGTGACTAATTCAAATGATTTCTCACTTTAATCAGAATCAAATTTAACATAGCTATTGTCGTAATAATCCCCCTTCCAAAGAAAAGATTTTTTCCAGCACATGCAGCAAACATTTTGGTCCCCACAATGTAACTGTTCCAAAATACAGAAAGGAAGTCATGACCCCAGACACTAACAGGCTACCTCTCTTGGGCTGTCCTTTGATATTTCTCTAAACAACCATATCCAACAGCTTTTCACTGATTTAGCGGCAGAGACGTTGCCTCAACACTGTCTTTTCTTTCTTTTTATCTCAACCAGAGCCATTAAAACTGTTTTTAATCAGATATATTTTTTCTGAAGTTCAGAAAGCACTCTACTAATGCATCTCACGTACTTTTCACTCCTCCCAAGGTCCTTCCCTGTACACTTACTATATTCCATGAGGAATTTGTGATGCCAGTTATACCAATTAGTTAAGTCTTCGAGTTATCCCTGTTTATTCCTCATATCCCAGACATATATCCAGAAGGTATTTCAGGTATTCAGTTGCTTGTGATGTTATTCTTTCACTTGCCTCATAGTTTCTCATTTTTTCATCTCACTTTCCAGACCAAGGCTGGTTTCCTATTACTTCTCTAGGAGGGAAAAATGGCAAAAGACAGCTCTTTTCTTTCACTCCTAGGATTTTGGAAGCTAAGTATTTATATTCACTGAGATAATGTCTTATTTTCACTGTAGACTGCATCTCCATTTTCACTCCTGTCCTTAGTGCCACAAACAGATTACCTTTTGCAGATTATCTGTGATTGCTCCAGACGACAGTGATATTTCCCCTGGATTAGTGGTAGAAAAGTAGGGACTGTGCCAATGGATTTAAGTCTACTTGCCACCTTGCAGTCTGATGAAACACAAAAACATCTATCTATCTGTTTTGTTTGATATTCCTCCTTTGGAGTAAAGCAAGAAGAGTTACCAACTAGCCCTAGTCCCAGAGCTGAAGTGATCACATCTAAAAGGAAAAATGACAGCCTACTTTAAGCCATGCTTTTTTTCTTATTTAAAATCCACAGGAGAAAAATCAGTTTTCTCTGCATGCCTGCTTTTGAGAAAGCTTTGGGGTGGACCTCTTTCTGATATGAAGGGAAAGGATAACATCAAGAGAAGTATTTGGAGTGACCTGGGAGAAGATCACATTTCTGTCTTTAAAAGTAGAGATAGTCTGTGTGTGTAAGTCAGAGTAGTGTCACTTTGCAGTTAAAATGAAGTTCCTTGAGTGACTAGAGATACTGTATCTTTAGGTATTTCATCAGCCTGAGTTAGAGCATTTCTTGGGGAGCATGACACTGAAATTTAGAGCCCTTCATCCCAAGGTCACTGACTCAGATCTGCCGCTAGGTGAAAAAGCAAAAGAAAAAAATATTACCCCTACCCAGTGGCTTTTTGATGATATGTGTGAAGAGAGCCAGTGGACTACAATCAAACAGCAAAGTGCCCACATTGCAAAACTACTGTCAAGGTCACTGATGCCTCAGTGGTGGCGGGGAGTGAAGGACTTCAACCTGCAACTTCTCTAAGACAAAATAAGCCATATCAGGAGGCCATGTGTGCTCAGGGTCTCACTCAGGATTCTTTATCATAAGATATCTGAATCCTACCAACCCATTCTGAAGTGAAAGGCAAAAGTGTCTGTCAGGCTAAAAGCAGTTCTGTAATC